CAGGAACCAGAAGCAGGAAAAAGCAGCTTTAATGGCACAAAAAATGTTAATTTATATGGGGAGATAAGGAAATTGGGAGCGACTCCCCGGCTTCTCAAACCTGCTACAGGAACTTTCTGACTAAACAAAAGAGGAAGATTTCATCCAGCTGAAAATTCCACATGGCTTCCTATAGCACCTGGGTATTTGTTACAGAAGCCCCATTCATTCATTCATTCCCTCTAAAGAGATTAGCAAAACCACAATTGAGACACACACGGCACAGCCCCAGCTTCTGCACATACTTCTCGTGGATTTTCAGGACCCGATGAACTATGGGGATCTCCCTTCCCTCTATCCTGAAGACCACGATCTCGCCCACTCTGATCGGATCTTCAATTCGGTTGGTCAGAAACAGGAGATCTCCTCTGTGAAACGCAGGCTCCATGCTGCCACTGGAGAAAACAAACAAAAAAGACAGAAAAAGAAAAGAGCAACCATTGAACAATATTTAAACACTCAAAAATGGGTTTTGAATCTTACAGCCTCGTGAAAAAATGCTCAAAATGACCTTGGTATAGAGACCCCCTAAGAAAAGCCAAAGGATCCAAAAGGATTTGGAGATTGGGCCCAAATCTCCCCTCTATTACACTCAGATTTTCATCTGCTCTGCTAGCCCAAGTTCATATTTGCTGGTCAAAGAGAAATGGCACCAGGCAGCATTAACAGCGTGCCAAAGAGCTTAAACCTTCCAGAGTCTTACTGAAAAATAAAGGGGAGAGAACGAGCAGCATCTTCTCCATTCCTGCGCTCTCGGTGGATCTGGTGATAATGAGGTCCTGGTCCTTGTGCCATTTACACGCTTTGTCACAGGTAGAGAGAGGATCTCTGGGGACAAAGCGCTCCAAGCACAAGGCCCCTGGTGTCCCCATCTGTAGCAGACAGAGGGGAACCTACACAGCTAAGAACCCGTTACTGTGATGCCTCCCTTTGCTCGACCACCCCGCTGCGGGTGCCGCCATTCCAAGGGCTGTTCCACCTCCTTGGAAACGCGGTCGTGGCACCGCTGTAGTTTCACACAGGTTGGGCAGCACGAAAGCTCCGTGCAGACCCTCCAGCGTGGGACGTGTCCCTGTGTTACCCTGGGAAGCTGCCGCTCAGGAGAAGCTCAGGTCACCAAGATGGGACGTGACTCACTGCCCTCATTTCCCGCCTCCCCTGCGCTTCACACACCGGCAGGAGGGAGGGGGAA